ATTTTTTTAATTCTGTGTTTATTTTCTCTTGCTGTGGTGTGGGTCCTGTTGTCTTTTGCCCAGTAGTACCAGATGCTGCAGATATTGATGGTGATGATGAATGTTGTGTTGTTTTCTTCATCTTATTTTTTCAAATCTTACTGCCCAATTTATAATCCAAATACTCGATTTCTTCAAATTCAAGCTGCCCACTCAGACTCTTCAGGTTCTTGCTACCCTAATCCACATAAATTTAATCCATACTCCATATAGGAGGAAAAAAAGATAGAAAGACTGTATCTGAAGAAACAACACCAAAAAATATATAAAATCAAAAGCAGCCAAGATGCCCCAAAAAAGACAAGAATAAAAAAAAGAAAAAGAAAAACAAGAGAGAAAAATGATTTTTCAAATCTTACTACCTAATTTTATAATCCAAATACTCGATTTCTTTAAATTCAAAATGCCCAATCAGACTCTTCAGGTTCTTGATACCCTAATTCACATAGATTTGATCCATAAACCATACAAAAAGACAAGAACAATCAAACAGCCCAAAAGGGCAAAAATAGAGAGAGGAAAAAATAGAAAGAAAGAAAAAGAAAAAAAAAGAAAAAACCAGATCAGAGCAAAAATAAAAACTCACTAATCCAAAACCCAGGTGTTTGCCCAAACTATCCAACCAGGCAATAAAAAGATGAAAAAAATATATCTCCCCCCAAAAAATTAAAAATAGAAAAAATGAAAACCCTGCTAATGAACTCTTTTAAGTCCAGGAAGAGGAAATTTCTACAAGAAAAAAGGAAAAGGAAAAGGCACAAAAAGAGAAAAAACAGAAAGGAAAAATAATATTCCAAAATACCACTTCCAAAATCTTCCAAAATTTATAACTCCATCAAGGGAAAGGAAAAAACAAAAACTTTATTTCTTTTTTTGCCCTTCTATATCTTCCCCCTTCTGTTACAAAGTCACAAGACCACTTCTTATCAAAATCTTCTTGCCAGTTTCCAAAACATCCCAAGGTCACTCCACTCTCATCTTTCCTTTATCCAATATATCTCTTTAATTTCCTCTGCAATCCAAAATAGTCTTAAAAGAGAAAAAAAAATAAATCCCCAGCTTCAAAACTTCAAACTCAAAATTACAAATTACAGTTCTTCTGCTTCTTCGCAGCTGTTCTGGAGGTGGGGAGGTAGCCTTTTTCCACTCCCTCCCCTCTCTCTTGCCAATTTTCTCAAGTAAAATAGTTTTAAAAGTTCAGGAGTTAAATATATAAAGGAATCTTGTTTCCAAGACCACAGTATCTCACCCAGATGATCACCTCGTTCTTTTTTCCTTCTCTTCTTGCGTGTGACCGCCCGGCTTTTGACTAATGACTGTCTTACCCTGCTACTGGGTCGGAGGCTGATGCAGACACTTCAGGGAACTTGTGACTTCCCTGTTCATGCCTGCCTGTGCTTCTGTTCTTCACTGTCCCTACAGGACAGCTATGATTCCTGGGGATCCCGTAAAGCAGCTGAGATATCAGCATTTCCAGGAGCCCCAGAATTTGCTGTACCACCACTGACACTCGCCACACCCACCTCCCAGACTAGGCCAATCTATTCACAAACAAAACACCTCCACAGAAGGCTGGAGTTGATGGGATTATTCTAAGGACAGGACATAACCTTTTAGACATAATAGGATTTACCCACCACCATTAGACTAGTAAAAGACACAAAGCTCACTACATTGCACAACCCCCTGAAGCATTTCAAACACAAAACCCCAAAGAATGTATAAAAACCTATCTATCCTAACCCCATTTTGTCAGCTATCCCAGAACTACATCTGTTGTTGGTTCTTCTCATCAATAAACAGAGTCCTTCTCTCTAATCAGCCTCCATTTTATTTCCAGTGCTTTTCTCCCGGCTTGGAACTGGACTGGATTTTTCTTCCAAGAACTGGAATTACCCAGATGTTAATTTCCTTGATGGTATTTCCTTCACTGAGTACAGACTTTAAGACTTTATTCACGCTCATGATGTATTCACTACTAATCAGCGGTGAAATCTGGCTGGATCTATCCAGCTCACGCAAATCAGTAGCGCCAGCAGCAGGGGGCTCTGCCCACCTGCCGGGATGTCTTTACATCCCGATTTTGACCCTCTGCACATGCACAGAAGGCTCTGTGCATGTGCAGAAGAGGCACACACAAGCATAGCATGCGTGCATGCACGCTCACACTCCCAAACCGAAGGTAAGTGCATTTCACTGCTGCTACTAATCTTCTTGACTTCAGTATGCTAGATATTATCAGCTTGAAGGATGCCTAAGTATTTGTAGTGGTCTTCCTCATCCAGACTCTTGATATTATTTCCATAGGGCATCTCAATTCCTTCATTTTTCACCTTGATGATGATAGGGCTGACATATTTATACAATCCAAACTCCATTGCAATATCCTGGCTGTATATATAGACCAGGGCTGTCACAACTCATGGCCATTGGGCCAGATGTGTCACTCGCTAGCCACACCCACACCCGGTTTAATGAAGGGGAAAAAGTCACGATACATCATGTGACTCCGCCGTGACGACGCAAGTTTGACATGCCTGATATAGACAGTGTTAAGCAACAATTCCACTTTGGATGGTATTTTTCCATACAGCCTAGAATCATCCATATAAAAGAGATGGGATAACCCGGCAGATATTTTTAATGTTTGATAATGATGGCCTGTTCATTAGTGTGGAATCAATGCAATGATGAACAATAGTGGTCTAGAGTCTCCTTGAAATATTCTTCTCATGATATTAACCTTTCCCAGTCTACCACCATTGACTAGCAACTTTTCTATTGTGCAATTGATCTTTGCACAAAATTTCTGATGTTTCTACTGCAGGGGTGTTAAACACGCGGCCCATGGGCCAGATGCATCATGCGCTGGCTACGGCCATGCCCGGTTTAGCAGAGGGGAGAAAAGTCAAGATATGTCACATGACGATGCCATGACAATGCAAGTTTGACACCCCTGTTCTACTGACTCCTTATTTCTAGGCATTTGATTATCCAATCATGTGGTAGGGAGTCAAATGCCTTCTTGTAATCAGTCCAAGCTACATTCAAGTTGGTCTTTCTTTTCTTTCAGTTTTCCAAAATCAATTTGTCGATCAGGGGCTGATCTTTTTGTCCTCTACTGTTTGGGCACTGCTTCCTTTCTGCTTATTTTGGGCAGTTTATTTTCAACTAGGTAGCAATTTGAAAGTTCTTGGTAAGAAGGTAATTGGCTTGTAGTTGCCTGGTGCTACCCCTTTTGTTGGATTTTTCATTGCCAAGTAGGTTTTGCCAATCTTTACTTTTACCTTCTTGCAGTATGCTTTAAACTGCTTGACAATTAGTGGATATAGACCATTCAGATGTCTCAGCCAAAATCCATGCAGTTCATCTTTACCTGGTACTGAATTTTATTTTTATTTTATATTTTTATTATTAATAATATATCTGTTCTGAGAAATGATTACCAAACATTTAGATAATTAGAGCACAAAGAAAAAATGATTTTGCTCTAGCTCAGTTCTATCATCTGAAATAAATTTTTACTTTTCCTGTGCAAGAAAATAAGATACATTTTCATAGGAAAATTAAATTGGTCTGGATTAGCATTAACTTGGGATTTGATAAATTTGGAGTCCTGGGTATATTAGATTTGTTTTCAATATTTTGAAAACTATAATTCAAATTGAAAATTATTTTAAAATTGTATGCATAAATCAAGACTTACGATTGTTATAAATTGTATTTAAAAAAATAATAAACTTGTATTAAAAATATAAGTTATGCAAACAATATTAATTCTCTTTTGGTGAGTTTCTATTTAGTTATTTTATTAACTTTATATAGGTGCCCGACTTACACATATACACAATCACATGTTTATGTGGAACTCAAAATCGCATGATTAATATTAATCACTAATCATAATAACTACGCCAAGTTGCTCACTTCTGCAATGTATCTGCCAATGTCTCATGCAAAAAGTGTTAGTGGACTTGGTACAATGGGACTAGAGTTTTAGTGAAAATAACTGAAATATTACACAAAATATTTTAGATGTAGGCTTCCCACAGTAGAACTCACCTTTTTGATATAATAATCTTCTCCACCTTATAAGAAGGGCTTACCCATACATGAAGGTATTGTGTTTTTCTATGATTTCAGTTACCCTACTGCATTTTGCATTAACTCTCTAGTCAATTTTTTTACATCAACTAAACTACAGAATTCAAGATTTTATCAATATTATCTCCCTTTGTTCTTGCTGCTTTTATTTGATGTGTGATTTGGCAAGATTTCAGAAATGGTTTGCTATTGCCTGCTTCCTAGGACTGAATGAGAGTGACTGGCCCAAAGTCACCTAGCTGGCTTCATGCTCAAGACAAGACTAGGTCTCATGCTTTAACCTGATGCTATAACTGCCATACCAATATGGCTGTTCTATCATTAAGCAACCTCAACTGAAGAGTGTATATAATATTCAGAAGACATTCCCAGAATTTAGCATGCATAGCTTGCTGGCAGGCATATTACATGACATCATTTCCCTGGAATATTTCCGAGTTAAAGTATTATTTAACTTGTCTCTTCCCTGCACTGTCATTATCAGTGAGAATTTCAAGTTTGCCAGGGCCACACAGGTTCTTGGAAGCAGTTACATGATCTCTGTTGTGACCCCATTGAAACAGGGGACTCGGCTAAGATAAATACATAAATAAATATCTTCCCTACTTTCAGCACCGGGTGATTTAAGGCTTCCGCCGAGTTAATTCGAATAGTGTCTGAATAAAACACGGCGTACGATCAGCTTGAGAGATCTTCTCCTCTTGGACCAGGATCGGGAGGTTCCTGGAAGTCGCAGTGGGTGTTTGGGGAAGAGGGGTGGAGCCACAAAGCCCAATGTTGGTACACTGCACGCTGCCGACGCGAATCCTCCCCTTCCCTTACATTGCTCGCTCGCTTGCTCTGACGTCGCCACATGCTTCTCTCAAAAGCAGAGGTATCAGCGCGCGTCCCCTAGAACCGAGCGTGCTGTTCCGTGAGTGGCTTCTCCTCGCTCCCGTTCACCCCAGCGTTTCTCTCCTGAGCGCGGGAGCCTTTGTCTGTTTTCACCAGAAACAACCTAACTTATTGTTTTCTGTCGGCTTGACATATTACAATTGTTTTTTAATATTATATTTAATTTTATTACTACCGGTAATTGTTTTTCGTACCGGTCCTTCGGACTGCCAGTATCTAAGGATTTTTTGCTTCGGTTTAAAGAGAGAAATCGACCGAAGAAAGAAGCTCCGGAACTTTGCAAGTTTTAAGCTTTATAGACTGAGGTAAAATATTCAATTTTGGGTTTGGGGAAGTGGCTTGAAGAAGGTATCAACAGCTGTCTGAGTGGGTTAACTGCGTTTGCTAGTGATATAACTAGCTGTGGACTGATTTTTAAAATGTAAGAATGTGTGAGAAGATGTGAGCGGGATAGAGAGGGAGCATTTGGGGGAGGGAGAATCTATCAGCCGCCGCCAGCGCTACTGTGTCACAGCAGGGCGTCCAGGATCTCTCCCCCCCCCCTCCGCCTTTTCAAACCCTCCCCACAAAAGACGTCGCTGGTGAGGCAGTCTTGACTGATTTGCATTGTTGTCTACATTTTCCGAAGTAGAATTCCCGGGAAGAAAGAATTCCCGAGGAGAAGAAATAAATAGCTGAAAAAGCTCCGGAAAGTCCAAGAGATGCTTCGGGCGGCAGTCAGTTAACGTTAGAAAGGGACCGTGACAATCGGTTACTTAGATTGCATCATGTGAAGTTCCGGGCAAAAAGAGGACGGATGGGTGGAGTTCGTTCACTTCCAAATCTGATTACGCAATCATGTCGCAAGTGTGTGTGTGTGTGTGTATGTATGTTTTCATAAGCTTCCTGATCTTAATGATGTGTTGTGTCTCTGGATGGATGGAAACGGGGGAAGACGTGTGAAGGCTCTTTGCTTATCTGCTTAGCTGGGCAGAGAAGCCGCCTTTTGCCCTATCACCCTGGCTTCTCACCGTAGATCTTTTGTTCCCCCCCAGCGACCCCATCTTTCCAGACAACGTGTGCTCCCAGTGTTCTAGCTGGAGATATCTTTGTTCTCCTCCCAGTACTTTTCCTTCCCTCACCCCTCTTCGCTTATCCCGCCCTTCTCTGCTGGTACTTTTCCACTCGCCTGGCTGAATCAGCCGCGGTGAGCAGCAGCTTCGAAGCAGCGTCTCACGTGACCAGCTTCGGAAGACTACTGCAGTATTGACGTTTTCCCCTCACCTTCGCAGACGAAGCAGGACCCGCGGCTGCCAAGGACAAAAGATCACGAGGACCCCAGGCGACCCCTCCCAATCCAAATAATTCTTTGGCCTAATTGACCCGTTCCCTAAGAAGACACCCTGGATCCCAGCATGACCAAAGCTGAAATGGGCAAGCTGAACAACATCCGAGAGGAGGACAGCAGCAGCTACAGCTCCAACAGCAACGACTTCAGCTATCACTACCCCACCAAATCAGCTGCGATGAAGAGGTCAGGGAGATTTCTCTGTCCTACTTTGAACCACAGTACAACATCCTCTTTAAATACCTGTCCCATCTGACTGAACTGGGGAAAATAGGATAGATAGATAGATAGATAGATAGATAGATAGATAGATAGATAGATAGATGATAGATTGATAGATTGATAGATTGATAGATTGATAGATGATTGATAGATTGATAGATTGATTGATAGATTGATAGGATTGATAGATTGATAGATTGATAGATTGATAGATAGATGATAGATAGATGATAGATAATTCTGTTTTTGGAATTCCCCCACTAAAGGAAAATCTTTAAAAATGACCATATCACAAGCCAGGAAAAAGAAGAAAATGTTGCACATTGTGGACGCATTTATTCAGATTTTAACTCAGTTAAAAATAAGTGGAATTTTACAATACCGTAGTATTTAAAGTTCCTCTTTCTCTTCCTTTCATAGCCATTACGTAGATATGGATCCAGAAAACCAAAACTTTTTACTTGAATCCAACCAAGGGAAGAAGAAATACGAAACTGAATATGTAAGCACATACCAATAGTGTTTTTACAAAGTAAAATCAATTTTATTATAAAACCTGTCAAGTTTGCAAGTAACAGCAAATTGTGAACTTTCACCATTCTTATTTACAGCATCCAGGTACAACTTCCTTTGGAATGTCAGTATTTAACCTGAGCAATGCTATTGTGGGCAGTGGCATCCTTGGACTTTCTTATGCCATGGCAAACACAGGAATTGCTCTCTTTGTGTAAGTATTAGAATGCAATAAAATCACAATATGTTATTATTTTAGGATAATATCTGTAGGTGCTTGCTTCAAACCTAAAACTTAATTCTTTGAAAGTATCTGAACACAAGCCATTTTATTCCCATTGACATCGCTAGAGACAAGAACCAGTGAACATTTATCTACCATGTTTCTCCAAAGGTAAGTTCCTGTCTTATATTTTTTGAACCCTGAAATAAGTGCTTGGTCTTATTGCCATGTGCTCAAAAGCCCAATTGGGCTTATTATCAGGGGATGTCTTATTTTGGGAGAAACACGATAGAAATATACTTGAACTCACAGTTAATTGTTTTTAGTGGCAAGCCTATGAGATTAGACTGCAAATTACTTTGAAGAGAAAAAAAAATCAGCTCAAACTAATAATTTAGAGACCCAGTAATTTCAGTTGAAGAATACAGCTCATGTTTATGTTTACATTTCTTCTATTGGAACCAGTAGGATTTTAAACATTTAGGTTTGAATAGCTCATATACATCTTCTTTCTTTTTTGTGGGCAATGGAAGTTAAACAGATTTTGACATTTTTGAATTTATACACTATAAAAATGAAATTGCACTCACTTTTAGTGTTTTAGTTATAATTTGTTAAGTTGCCTTTTATTTTGTTTGTGCCATTTCATGCTTTCCTCAAAAATGATTTTTACATTAATATAAATATCACTGATAGTTTTCTCAAATAGTGGGGGAAATACTTCAATTTTTCCATTTTAATTTCTGGATTATAATGTTCTACAACTTAACAGGCTGGTGACTTTGGGCCAATCATTCTCTCTCAGCCCAACCCACCTCACAGGGTTGTTATTATGGGGAAATAGTAGGAAGCAGAAGAAATAGGTATGTTCATCAGCTTGAATTATTTATAAAAATGGGAAACAAAACTAGATTTAGATACCATTTGCCATCCTACATTTTGCCTATAGCATCATAAAGCATTTGTCAATTTTTCCTTGATAATTTCTCATTAAAAAACATCATATGCTGTAGAGTTTGCTGTTGGTCCTGCATGAAATAAGAAAAGGGCATCTGTCATATTACAGAGAGCAACAGATCCTGAGTAGAATTTAGCTATGTAGTCATTGGTGTGAAAAACAAGGAGATCCATACAGATGTATTTCTGTTAGAAGGCTGTTTTAAGTCTGAAAAGTTAAAGGACTGCATGTTCAGAAAGGCAAATATATAGTGGCATGTATATGTTCGTTATTAATAGAAACCAAAGAAATATGGAAATAACATAATAAATAATTGTATTTTATTGTGCCATTTCATGCTCCAGAAAAGTTTTGCAGTGGTTACAATGTAATCAGCATAATGCATGCTAGTGGGATTCTCTGACAGGCAGGGTTTGACAAAAAGCACATTTAAGTCAGAGGAAATACACACATACAAACACACACACACAGAGACACAGAGTTTGTCAGTACATTTTATATCAGTGTAAGAATAAACAATGAATTTAGTGAGGCTTGCCGATATAAAAATGTAACCTAACATGTGTTTTTTTTCTTAAATTGTTTATCTTTTCTATTGGAAATTAATTTATCTAAAATATAAATTATAAATAATTAATTTATCTAAAATATATTGTAAAGCAAAGAATAAAATTTTTAAAAAGTAAATACCATTTTATTTCTTCTTGGAATAAATAAGCATTTCAGACTATAGAAACAACTGAGTAGACAATGTTGATCAGCTTATAAAATAACTCCTGTCTGCATCTGAAATGACTTAAATCTTGACATGTATTTTCTAACCAATTTATATAGCTTCTCCCACACAAACAAGTGCTCTGGGCAGTATACAACACAGCAAAAAATGTTAATAAATACATTAAAAGTTTAAAGCCAAGCTAAAATAAAGAATAATAGACAAAAAACTGTTAAAAGTAGCAGAGCTCCCTCACTAGTTCACCATCTCCTAGAATCCCCAGGCCTGCAGGCATAAACTGGTCTTAAAGGACCTCCAGAAGCCCAACAGTGATCAGGCCAACCTTGTCTCATGGAGAAGAAGATTCCACAGCACAAGCACCAAGGCAGAAAAGACTCCACAGCATAAGTGCCAAGGGCCTGCAAAATGTAGCTCCATAGGTAACCGAACCTATAACATGCCCTCTTTGCATGGTAAATGGGAGCATAAAATTGGAAAAAGATTCACCAAACAACTCAGTGCCATGCTATGAAGAACTTCAAAGGTCAACACCAGCACCTTGCATTGGACCCAGAAAGACACTGGTAAACAATGCAGCTCATGAAGTGGAGGTGTGACATGTGTTCTACCAGAAACAAACTTAACTGTTTGCACCATTACACTTGGCATCTGCTGAAGTTTCCACATAGTCTTCAGGAGCAGCCGGATATATTTAGTGGATTGCAGTAATCTAGCAGACTACCAGAGCAGGAATGACCATGAGTAGATCCCCTGATTTAGAAATGATTTGTGCTAGATTTGTTTTTAAAAGTGGCAGTTGGGCTCTTTTTAATCCTTCTTAGACTGTTCCTTGTCCCCTGAACACAGTAAATATTCCTAATATATTCACTGCATTTAAATTTATATTTAATTTGATTATTTACTTTGGGAATGATGTGACAATGTTAAATTTATTCATTTTTCAAAGCCATTGCAGCCAATAAAGAATTTAAGCGTGTTCAGATAGTTCTCATTTAACTCACTGGCAGAAATATGTATATAAATTTATATGATTTTGATACTTTTTATTTATATATTCAATTTCAAAACAAAACATTGCATTTGTATTTGCTTTTTAGAATTCTCTTAGTCTTCGTGTCAATATTTTCTCTATATTCCGTTCATCTTCTTTTGAAGACTTCCAACGAAGGAGGTAATGACAGTAACTATTTGTCGATCATAGATTCAACCCCCTTTCCCTTTCTAAATTGCATTATTCTAAATCTTTGTTCCTATAGGATCTTTATTATATGAACAATTGGGAATGAAAGCATTTGGCATGCCTGGAAAACTTGCAGCATCTGGATCAATTACAATGCAAAACATTGGAGGTAAGATCCTTCTTAGATACCCTAAAAGCAGTCTTCTTCTTATTCCTAAAACTATTTTTTCACAAAACATGCTTTCATTAACAAATTCAATGATGTCATTAGGAACTGTATTTTGTGATTTTTTAAATATGTTGTCATTGTAATTATCTACAATATTATTCACTTGCAGCTATGTCAAGCTACCTCTACATCGTGAAATATGAGTTGCCATTGGTCATCAAAGCATTTTTGAACATTGAAGAGCATTCAGGGTAAGTCCTAGAACTGCTTGGTAGAAATTGTTTTTATGGGAACATGTAAAGGGACATGATATTTGAGGACTTCTGTTGAAACAGGTTAAGTTCTTAAACAAAAGTAATTAAAGTAGTAAATTCCAGTTATGCATTCGTGATTCTGGAGGGGTCTGTTTGAAAGTCTAGTGGTTAAGGTGCCAAGCTAGAAAGTGGGAGACCATGAGTTCTAGTCCTGTCTTGGCCATGAAAGCCAGCTGTGTAACTCTAAGCCAAGTCATTCTCTCTCAGCCCAAGCCATCTCACAGGGTGGTTGTTGTGAAGAAAATAAGAGGAAGGTGTGTTGAATATGTTTGTCTCCTTGAATTATTTCTAAAAATAGTAAAGGTGGGATACAAATAAATAAATAAATACAAATAGTCAGATATGGAAAGCCATGTGCAGAAGAGACTCCAGAATGGAATCAGTGTGCTTCCTGCATTTTAATCTCAAACAATCCTCAAAATAGAAAGAAGATTTTACTTGAAGTTCAGTTCCTGATGTTCTGTCAATATGTCCCTATAGTTTTATTGGCAGCAAGAAGGAAGGAGTTATTAATAATTTCCTTCTAACAAGTCTTTTTGACTTCCTGGTCTAGGTTAGAGCCCTTGAGTTCCTTAAAGTTTCTAATTCAAGTACTAAGCAATATGTTTTCAAAACCAGTCTAGGTTGGCCAGGTGCTTTCACTTGCAGAGACACCTAGCCTTAGAAGATTTTGAAAATTGTCAAATCAGATTATCATGCAAAGATTTCACCATGTACATTCTCCTTTTCCTTCTAGAGAATGGTATTGGTATACTAATGGCGATTATTTAGTTATATTAGTATCCTTGGTGCTCATTCTTCCTTTGTCATTGTTAAAAAATTTAGGTAAGTGGTTTTTAATGTTGATATTAATGTGGAATAAACAAGAAAAACAATGGTTAACTTACTTGCACTCAATAAGAGAAATCCCTAATAGTCAAACCAGTTTTTCTTTTTCTTTATTCTGTATATGCAGATGTAAATAGCACGATCAAATTCATGAAACTCTCTGGTTGGCCAATGTTAATTTAAAACAATACATGAATTAAACATGATGACTGTCCTGAAAGGAAAGTGTAGCACTATTTGCATCACATTAAGTATTCCAATTTTATATTGGCTTAACTTGGAATATATTGTCTGAACTTAAATGGGCTACAGTATATTCTTAGTGGATATATGCCAATAGTTAACTTGCTAAATTTGACTATTTGCCATTTGGAATAATTTGAACTAATCATGTATTAGAAAGGAAATTCTGATTAATTGATTAAAGGTGTACTGGGTGATTTGTAAGTGGATATTAAATTAAAATATTTCTGATAACAATTCCTACTAATGTCTACTGAACAAGATGGCATAACAGTTCAAAATGCTGAATATGTTGTACATGTTGTTTTTCACATGTACTGCATACTTTAAATTAAAACATTCCTTTACCATTGTAGGTTATCTAGGCTACACCAGTGGATTTTCCTTATTGTGCATGGTCTTCTTCCTTATTGTGGTAGGTATCGTTTATTTATCTATATTTTTAAATGTTTAGAATATTAATTCAAATGCTATCACAGAAACTTGTAATCATATCTTGTAATTATAATTAGAATGGCAACAGATTTATCATGTGAAATTAACTGTGGTCATCCTTTGTTAGGTCATTTGCAAAAAATTTCAAATTCCTTGTGGAGCAGAACATGATCTAATTAATGCAACTCTGAACATTACCATGGAGCAACCGTTGACTGCAAATGAAACAAATATTAATGCAACATATGATTCCTGTGTACCAAAATATTTTATCTTCAATTCAAAGGTAATAATTAAACTAAGTAAGTATAATTGCAACTTCTTCAAAGTCTAACTAGTCGTGAAACTTCCTGTTCATCTTATAAAAGCTATTATAGCAATACTAAGATCAGTATCTTGCTTATTGTCCTTGAATTAAGTATGGGTGAGGGAACAATTTCATCTTTACCCAGTTGTTTGACGAGACAGAATACTTCAAGAATAAACTAATGAAGATGCCACACTTATACCAGTGTGGTATAACCAGGTATCATCTCATACAGCTGGAGTTTTCCTTCCCTACCAATTCCATATATCACCCATTATTTAACTCCTTGGAATTAGTTTGCAAGTATGGAAGAATGTTACATAAACAGTATATTCTACTAGCCAACACTTTTGAATAAAACCCAACATGAGCACTCTCATACTCATTTAGTGAAACCTTTAAAATTCCATCTCACTGCTAAATAATTCCATGCTGTGCATAAAATGCAGTGCCATCTCTACAATTATTATTTTTTTAAAAAAATGAATAGAATGATTGATAACCTGCTTGGTGACTTGAATAAAAGTGGATGTGACTAACAATTGTGTACTAACAAATACTTTTCTAGTATTTAGTATATTTGAGTAGGAATAAAAGTTCCAATTGCCTTTAGATTATTTACTTTTCTTCCACCTAATCTTTTTCATTCAAACCTTTATTGTCAGTGCACAAGATATGTATAATGAGATTGGTTGAGCTCCCTCAGTGCACAACCCCCAACACAAAACTACTCACAGTGAGTTGTTTTCATATGGGAAAGTTGATAAATAGAAAGGGCAATTATAGATAATAATTTGAACTGTTCATAAAAAAGGAGGAATATGAATGAAAAAAATGAAAAACATGCTGTTTAGAATTATAGCTCTAGTTTTTCAAGAAACTATCTGAGTGTCTTTTAAATTAAGTTATAGAAATAGTCATACACCTATTTTTATGTTTTCCAGACTGTCTATGCTGTACCAATCCTGACATTTTCTTTTGTCTGTCATCCTGCTATTCTCCCTATTTATGAAGAACTGAAAGGGTATGTCATGTATTAACATCTGTCTTGTGTTTTCAAAGAATTGCATATACATATGGAATGATGTATTTCATAAATATTCATAGCAATTTATTTGTTTTTCTATAATAGCCGAACCCGCAGAAGAATGATGAAAGTATCCAATGTTTCATTTTTTGCTATGTTCCTCATGTATCTTTTGGCTGCTCTCTTTGGATACTTGACATTTTATGGTAAAAAAGCAACTCTTCTATTTTAAGTTTTGCATGTTAATTTTTTATATATCTTTGGAGTATAAACAGGTCAACTGGACTAAAGCAAGCTCATACTGTTTTGTCTTTATGTAAACATGTGCTCCATTGTAGCATTTGTATGTTCTACTTAAGGCAATTTCAACTTAAAGCAATAGGAAGTTTGCACAAGCGTCCTTCCTTCCTTCCTTCTGCAGAAAAATAAGTTCCACAAATATGAATTAGTCATTCATTTTTTAGTTAACTGGTTCTATGGACTTCTGAACTCCCTTATTAATAAGAAGCAAGTCCTAATAAAACATATTTCCTGTAGAGATTTCATGAAAAAGGCTCTTCAATTTTTAATAACAGTAGACCCATCAGTCATTGTGAGACCATGTTTATGGCCACACACAAATTAAAAATGGCTGTCAGGGAGGTTAGGACCAATCAATTTTGTGAATTTTTTGTTAATGTTATACTGAATCACACTTATGTTCTGCCTGACTTCTGTGGAAGGAAGACAAAGAGAGTCCATTACCTGTGAGGGGCAAGATGGGCACTCTATTCCTGGTTCCATGTGGCATTCCATTCTACTCAAAGCTGTTATAAGGAGGAAGGGTTAGGAAGCCTGAATCATATTATAGACTGTCAGTAACTTTCATTTGGGCGACAGCTGTATAATTTAATGGCACTTTGTTTATTGAACTGTATATCACTGCTTGTAGCTTTAGCTTTAGAAGCTTTGTAGCTTTAGAAATACACAGTGTGATGTGCAATAACAATAGAAATACCATAATGGTATTAAATGGGAACACTGACAAGCAGTCAAATCTTAGATTTAAATAAAAGTTACTGGTCAATTCAGAACACTATTTAATAAATAGCATTACCATTAGTGTTACAACAAAGATTGTGGCTACCGCATTGCAATGCATTCTATATTACAAAGCTGTATAGTAACACAATTCCACTTGCAAATCAATTGTAAACTTTTTAAAACATGCACAAGAATCTCATTTATTATATTATGTGAATATTAAAGTTAACAAATATCCTGCTAAAACACATGTCCCTTTCCAGGAAAAGTAGAAGCCGAATTGCTCCATACTTATTCGGAAGTGCTTGGGACTGATAATCTCCTTCTGATTGTGCGCTTAGCAGTCTTGATGGCAGTCATTCTTACTGTTCCAGTTGTGATTTTTCCAGTGAGTAACTTTACTTAATGAGGAGAGAGTAACGTTAATTTATGTTGAATTTTGGAAAGCAAGTATTTATGGAGCTTGCATTTAGTTCCAATTATCATTTTCATTTTTTAAATCCTCTGTCATATCTCTGTGTTCAGTTTGTTTTACTTTTTTCATTATTGTATAATCAGTATAGTTGGAAGGCAATATAAATTCTATGTTTTAAAAGATACGTTTTAAAACATTTTTGGGAGGGAGTAAATTTTAATGTGTCTTTAATAACATTAAGTAATTTAATTAATGTGTATTTTACAGATCCGCAGTTCCGTTACACAATTACTGTGTGCAGGCAAAGAATTTAGTTGGGTGCGTCATTGTATTATTACAGGAGCTATTTTGGTATGCACCAACGTTCTCGTCATTTTTGTTCCCACAATTCGAGACATATTTGGATTCATTGGTGAGGATTGTTTGTTACTTGTTTGAAATATCTATTGTTCTAAAAATGTCTATATAATGTAATAAAAAATAAGCAGCCTAATTAAACTTTATGGTTCATTCAGGTGCCTCTGCTGCTGCCATGCTAATCTTTATACTTCCATCAGCTTTCTACATTAAGCTTGTGAAAAAAGAATCCATGCAATCCGTGCAAAAAATTGGGGTAGGTACTTATCATTGTGTTTACCTAATAAAAGGGAATGTTTTTTGATATTCATAGAATTATTAGCGTCATTCTTACACAGGGTTTGACTATAAAGCTTTCTTAATTGCCATGAATGTCTACATTAACTGTACTGAGGCCTTTTCATTAACTCACCCCTTCTTTTTTCTTTAATTGTTCGTTTTTATTTCTTTTATTTTACTTTTGCATCCCTGTAAGCCACTGAAAATCATTTTGGAAATTAAGTGGCATAACATACCCATATTTAAAAGTCTAGCATATTGGCCTGAGTTTTCTTAGCCTTCCCAAAAAATGAAGGCAGAATGTGTTCAATGTTTTTCATCTTGGCTTTGAATGATGCAATTTTGAAAATTGTCAAAAAAAATGACTTTTTTGTATAATAGACTTTTTTTTTCATGCCCTTGTTTCTGACAAAATAAATTCAGTATTTTGTATGTTATTTATTTAGGCTCTCATGTTCCTGCTAAGTGGCATAATTGTGATGATTGGAAGTATGACCTTAATCATTATGGATTGGATCAACAATTAACCTACCTGCTTTATTCATTAGTCTTCATTCTGCCATCTTCTGGAGAGAAAAAACTTCTGCCTATGTTTGCAGCTCTGCTTCCTTTGATGCTAGTACTCTTAACTGTAGAACAGATGGATTTTAAAGAAAGAAAAGCAAAAGAAACTATTCTGTACAAGAATAGATACTAATATCAAGTCAGCTGAATCTTTGGCTGAGTGAAGTGACTTTTTTTTATTCCATTCCAGGGAATGGACAGCTCATTCTATAAAATTTTATTAAGCCATGTTGGGCTTTGGACATTGTTACTTGGATTCTTTATTATTTACTTGAATGTGCCTAATGAAAACAATAGATGTGAGAAGTAAATTAGTTTACAGCAAGTTTCTAAGCTAGCCATTAAAAGCAAGGGGGAAAAAACTATTATTATTTTTATACCAAATAACTATGGACTCAAGAGCACTATTTTGACTTTTAAGAAAACATTTTATAAATTAAAGATCCAAATAAGGGTAAGAAAATATCAGTACACTGTTTAATCAATAACCTCAGTTCAAAATGTTCGCCTTTCTACAGAGGCATATTCTGAAAATTATATTTTTTCATCTCAATAAGCTTATTTTTTAAATCTGTTACAACTAATATTTAATTGGCTATCTTAAAAGAATAGAACTATAATTAAATTTCATTTGGAATTTTAGTTATTCTAACACTAAAACCAAACAAAGATTTGTTAAGAAGTTCCAATTATAGTATATTGAATCAGTTAGCATAAGGTACTATACTGTGTTTCAAGGAGCCATTTCCTCAAATGTAATTTTTTTGGAAAAACATCAGAATTTCTGATATATTAATTTATGGCATTCTGTTCTCATTAGAGCTGTATCCAGGCAACTCTTGAAATTAATGAAAATTTTATAGGAGCATTATTTGGCAACTTGCTGGTCCATTCATAAAATATAATGTTGGCATTTTTCTTCTTGGGGTACTCAGTAGTGTAATTACAGAAGATAAAAACATTTTTATTTTTATTTTTATTTGATCTTACCAAAGCACAGTAAATTGTTAGATAATGTGATGTTCCTAGCAAAAAATATGGCTTTTTAGTATATAGAAGAAAAATATTGAGGTCTTGTTATAGTTTACTGGAGGTAAAGTGTACAGATAGTGTGGTACTTTTCAGATGCATGTTTTCATTATTAATATATTATGTTACATAATTGCACCAGACTTTGGTACATGTGACAAAATTCTTTTCATAAAATAACTGGATTTCTTAATGCAGTTTTCTAATGATTGACTAAACTGTCATATTCACACACATACACACACACGGTGCTAAATGAATGGGCCTCAGTATTATTGGGACAGTAGGATAACAACCATAGGTCATGTACAATAGATGTCCAGAACATGATCCTCCCCTGATTGGACAACAGATATTACACAGAGTATAAGCATTCAACGAACATATGAACTGGCACACCTCTCACACTCCTGTCTGTCTCCCATTCATCACTTAGCCTGGAAACTCAAGAAGAGCTGAATATTGAGACGGGGAATTCATACATACTTCCCATTTCTATGATAACTTAAAGAGATATTTAATGAATTTGCCAAGTGGGATAGAGGGTAAACTCTTCTCTATTATGCTTTGTAGTAATAAATCTGTGTTGCAAGATTTATTTGCAACATTTTCCAAAGGAAGAATCATGGTTACTACATATAATAATTATACTATTTCAACCCCAAGGTGTAAAGACATTTAGGACATTTTTTTTTTTCATTTCACAGAAATTGCTGAGTAGATTCTCTGCCAGAATCTAAAAAGGCAGAATTTAACTAGGTAACATTCAAACAATTGGCATAATCTAACTTAATAGTAGTAGCTCAATAGTAACTATTAAGTTAGAGCAATCAAAAAATGTCATATAATTAACCAGAACATTTTTTAAGCATAGGTTTGTTTTTAAAAAATATACAGCAAATATTTCCCATTGAATTCTGATTCTTAACCTAATAATGTTTCATTAGGGCACTTGTCAAAAAGGAACACGATTTATTGAAAAGTAACTGTAATGTTTCCCCTTATTGCCTTAGAAAGGCTAGAATTCAAGCCATGGTTCTACGCAGGACAATATAATTTGTACTTGAATAATAGTTGTGATAATCTCTTTTATTCCTAAAATGTCAGTAATCAACACTAGTACTGTTAAAAATACAAAGCTTCTTTTTTGATCCAGATTGTCTAAAGAAAACATCTTAGAATTTCAAAGATCACTCTTTGGTAAGCAATTGTGATGTAATGTAAGATCTCATTGTTAAGTGTTTATATCTCAGAACTACCATTGGCATTACTGGGTGAATACAACATACTTATGTAGCAGATATAAATAACTTAATATTAATGTCCCGACTTAAAATCTTCTTGCATTTTGTACTAGTGTAGTGGTATTTTGCGCAACATCTTAAATACTCCAGAAAGTATATGGAATAATTTTAAAATGATTTTTTTTTCTTTACAACGACTAGGGTTGCCCAGTATCTTTAATCTGTCTGGGGAGTTAAAGATCAAAAATCATTCTTTTCCAAACAGTAAAAAATGTTGTTATAGCCTAATTGTTCATCTAAAAGTGACAAAAGTGGAGGGAACACACTTGTCCATCTGCAAAAATGATACTGAATTGTTGCTGAATCAGCAATATCTGGGCAGTTCAAATTAGGGATTGCACAGTTTTCTTTCATTTGCAAAGTCAAACTTCTCTAACTACTCCTGAGTACCACTAAGATATCTTGTTTGCTAACATACAGAAATGTGGTACACAAACTTCTCAGGAGCTAGTAGTTTCAGTATTAAACCACTGTTTGTCACCTCATTTTAAAATTACTGTCTTCCATATTATTTTACTCACAATATGTAACATGTTATTTATGGAACAGTACCTGTTGAAGTTAAAACCTATTTTTTAATATTTATGGGTAACCTGTATATAAATCATTATACTGTATATGTATATATATGTATACATACTGTAAGTATATTGTATATAAGGTAAGGTAAGGATTTTGATTATGTATATAAGTTTACATTAATAGTTAGCACATTAAATCCATAATTCCTTCATGTTGTATATCCAAGACATTGTCACAGGAAAATCTCTGGAGAAATTGTATGCCAGTGATCAATTGTTTTTGCATTTGTTATACAAATATAAAAGTGTACCCAAAATGTATTAGTTCAATTCTACATTTCTCTTTGAACTGTACAACCTATTCTATACTGCAAACTAATAATGAAATTCCTTTAGTTTCCAAAGCAGTTTATGATGTGAGAAGAATGGGAGCTACTATTTGACAGCAAAAAATACCCCTTTTTTGATTCAGAAAATTAGTTTCCTAAATATCTGGACCCAGGGCCATTGTTGTAGGCCACTGTTGTAAAGTGAGAAACCTAATTTTACAATGTACAATTTGCATTGATATTTTCAGTGACTGTTTTTAAAACCAATGACTGATGTTTCATATATAGGTATGATTTGTATATATCATGTATATATATATAGATAAAGAGATACACGCTGTATTGTTAGATCAACAATTTAAATATAATTGTTGAAAAGAGTGCTACACTGTTTCAATGAAACACTAAGTTTTAACTAAATAAAGATCAAAGCTTAAGAATGGAGTTTATTGTCTATTATATAAGTATTTGTTTATGTTGTACTTTACAGGTAAATCAATTTTAGGCAGTTAACAAAAGTTGCAGTTGCCTTTGGATCCAAACTATAAGATGAATTCACAGTTCATATTAAGTCATGATTTGTATTAATAAAAGTTTACTAAACATGCCACAATATCTAGTTCCACATATTATAAGTCAAAACCAAATAAGTATAAATTATGCATCATATAATAAGATGCAGCATTTGCAGAAGTGCATTACACACTTGGTATATGAATATATATAACTCTAATACTGGACATGTTTCATCACTTGGAATTTGAAATAAACATCTAGTGATAAATATTAATATGGGCATGTTAATAAAATGATGTGGAAACATTTTCAGCAAGGCATTCAATGATTTTTATTGTTTGATGTATACCCTGCCTCTGTGTTTACTTCACCATTTAATACAATTAAAAATGCAAAATATAAACTGAACAAAATTAACAAAATTAAAAGCAATCATTTCAATCACTAATAAAAGGTTGGCAAAAGAAGGAAATTTACCATCTTCCTAAATATTGAGAATAGGAACCAAATTCTTTGGATGGTGCAGTCTATTCCTTGGAAGCCTCATGGAAGAAATACTGTCCCTGTATGCCCAGTAACTGAAGTGCTGAGTTGGGGCATATATAGAGTGATCTCGGTGATCTAATTAATCAGGCAGGTTCATAGCATAGGAGCGATTAACAAATAATTAGACATTTAGCCATTTAAATTGTGTCTACTAAGCAATTAAAAGAGAAGACAATTTTTTATGGAATTATCCGTAATATTCCTATGGATTGCATTAATCAGTAATATAGTCATCGCAAAATATATTACAAATATTTTTCAAGAATAAACCCATTTAATACATATTTCAATACTTAAGACAGGCTTTAAACAAGGCACAATTTTCCCTAGAACTAATTTACTCAGGAAGGATCAGAATTGGTGAGCTACTCATAATTATGCAAACATGTTTCTTGCATCTGTCACCACCTATAAATCCAATGTCTGCTGCAGTCAAGGGACTCTCGGAAACTGCAAACACTCTCTGGGGGAATGCAATTATACCATAATAAGTTTCATCTCAATACCCCAATCCATTTTTTCTTCTCTGTGGTGTCTAGATTTTAATTTCAGCTTGATCCAACCCACTACCAAGATTAGCAATGCTCATGTTTGCCAATATTACCTCTTGTGATCTACCAATATTGGCATCCAAATGAAGTCAAAGTTTGAGTGACTTTGTCTGCAAAGAATTATGACAATTACTGGCAGCATACCTCTGACTATTACAATTATCTACCCCCAATATATTTATGAAGGGTATGCCCCATACCACAGAAAAGTATTATTGGCCAATGAGTGTGAGTAGTGTTTTTCATTATTCCTATTACTAGAGTAGATTTTTTTCTGATTCATTAAGAGAGATCCTCCATTTGAAATTCAACTTAGTTGTTTCATTACTCTCAGTTCCTTAATTTTTAAAAAGGTCTCTGGCTCTGCTACAGGAGAAATATTGCTTAGCCAGAATAGTGAAAATTATCCGGACAATCTCCCTATTCCATAGATCACGCAAGTCTTCAAGCAAATGAGGTATGAAATTTTGTTAACAAATGAGGTGTGAAATTTTCTAAGCACAATTAAAAAAAAATCATCTGAATCTTTCAGACCTGGTTTACAACATTTTAACTGAACCTCAATTTTTCCAGCGATTGATAACTGTCGCCAGTCTAAATTGACCAGAGAGTGATCTGCTATGATAATGGAACTACAAAAAATGTTCAGAGCATTATAGCGAGCACCAAATCCTCAGCCATCCCAAGCTGGGCTAACATGGTGTCATGGTATATACCAGTGTTTCTCAAGCTTGGGAACTTTAAATTGTATGGGCTTCAACTCCCAGAATTCCACAGTCAACACACTGGCTGGGGGATTTGGGGAGTTGAAGTCAGGGGTGAAATCTAAAAGTTTTTGCTACCGGTTCTGTGGGCGTGGCTTAATTAGTGGGCGTGGCTTGGTGGTAAGGTGACTGGAAGGGTGTGGCTTGTTGGTCAGGTGGGCGTGGCCAAGTCAATGTCACTTCTTTGCCCTTTTTTAACCTATAAAACACAACACAACACAACTGGCTCACCCACAATATAAAAACAGCTGTGCTAGACCCAAAATGGCCCTGCAACAAGCAGGAACCTCACACAGCCACAAAAAGCCCAAAAAACAAATTTTCACACTTTACACACACAAAATTCCACATATAGCTTTGTGAGATTTTGTGTGTTTGTGTAGTTAGAGTGAAACACTACAGAAACACACTAAATCTCAGAAAGCTGCACAAATTTTATTTTATTTTATTTTTATATAAAAGCAGCTAAATTTAAAACTTCCTAAATTTTAAATGGCTAGGTCTAAAAAAAGAACAACTAAAAAAACCCCCAATTAACTATTTTTTTAAAGCTCCCAAAGGGAAAAAAAACCCAATAGAACAGGGGTCTCCAACCTTGGCAACTTTAAGACTTGTAGACTTCAACTTTCAGAATTCCTCAGCCAGCTTTGCTTTGCTGACTGAGGAATTCTGGGAGTTGAAGTCCACAACTCCCTGCCTGCTTGATTGCAGGCAGGCAGATTCAGTTGCTTGCTGATGCAATGGATTACAGGGATTACAGCAAGGCGTTGCAACCAGCAGCTAAGGTAAGCAAGCTGAGGGGGGGGGACGGGGAGGGATTTTTGCTACCGATTAGCAGGCAACTCAGCTGAGATCGTCAGAGCTTGGATTGTCAGAGCCATTTAAAAGAAAAAACTTTTTTTCTTTTAAATGGGTCTGACGATCCAAGCTGAGTTGCCTGATTAGCAGGCAACTCAGCTGGGATCATCAGAGTTTGGCTCGTCAGAGCCATTTAAAAGAAAAAAAAGACTCTGATGATCGCGCGGCTCAGCTGGGCATGGGGAGCGGGGGCAGGGATTTTTGCTACTGGTTCTCTGAACTGCCCACCGCCATCGCTACCTACTCGCCCGAGCCAGTCCGAACCGGGAGCATTTCACCCCTGGTTGAAATCCATGTCAGTGTTCCAAGTAATACACCCATAGCAAACAGAACTCCAAGGCAGGTAGATTCCTCAAAGAATAGTTTTATTGGATATATCATATTGGCACAGACTGGTGAAAACTGAGTCTGAAGTTCCTGCGGTTTTCACCTAATTAAATTCACCTGGTAATGTCACTCCTCCTCTCTCTGGCCATCTGTGGGAATGTTCTTGGTTCCCAGGAGAAAGTATTTTATTTTAGCTACAAAACCCCAGCTATTTCTATTCCCCCCTCCCTATCCCTTAGCTCCACTGTGGCAACACTGAAGCTGCAAAATGGCCTCGGTCAGGTCAGCTTCAGGGTTGACAGTCCATACATTTTAAAGTTCTCAATCTTGAGAAACACTGGGTATATAAGATCTAAAAGAGACAGACGATAGCCCCTCATATGTCGGCGACCCAATGTCAGTGAAATATGTGAATAAAGATAAGCAACATATTCCTACTTTCCTTAATGACACTTTGACTAAAATAGCTTCATAATTCATTCCCTATTCTGTCACACAGGAAACCTCCAAGTAAAAATAAATGGGGCTTAGTTTTAAGCTTAATAAACCACAATGACATTTCTAAGAAATAGTCATTCTTGTCTGTAACAAAACTGCAAGTGCAGAGGAAATGATGCTCAATGTTCCTTTCTAATTGGTATTTCCGATTTGTTAGTAAACACTGTTGACCTTTTTAGCTAATCGATCCAGGGGTGGGTTCCACTTACCTTTGCTACCGGTTCGCAGTGGGAGCGTACCGGCGATGCTTCTGCACATGCGCAGAGCATCCGTGATGACATCCGGGTGGGTGAGTGGAGCCTCCCATCACCATTACTACCGTTTTGCAAGATCTGGACCGAACCGGTAGCAATCCACCACTGAACTGATGAATATATACAGATATGTGTACTAAGATTTTGTAGGGATAAAAAATCCACTGAATAATATAAAAACTGATGCTTAGATTAAATTTAACAAACTTAGTTTTCTGATACACTCTTCCCAGGACAAAGAAAGTCTAGGTGTTGGTAAGGTGTTAAGTTTGATATAATAATTGTTAGATTCATTTAATATGTTCTGTGCTATGGATTTTTATATGCTTAGGTTAAGTTCTGAACAAAATGAATGTGTCTTTTTCTTTAATTTACTGATTCTTCAAAATGGGTCTAAGACAAACTCATCCTGATGTGCACGGTTTTATATGGGGGATTTACTACTTTATGCAGCAACCTTAAAATATAAATCTTAATCTGAGTGGGATAAAAATCACTTAGGAAAAGACATTGACATAGGAAAATATCAATTGACATTAAAGTCTCCAAGACAAGATGTCTAGAGCAATCCAGTGCCATGCTAGAGATCATCAAAGCTATTTCAGGAGAAGACACTGTTTATAGTGGGATAGATATATATTTCCAGTACTTCTATACTATCCCAACCATCCAACTGTAACATCAAATATTCACATTGGCATATCATTAAATTGAGCTTCTGACCACAGAGATGAAATCCCTGTAGACTATGATCACAGCACCTCTCCACCCCACCCATTCCTAGACTGCTGGGTCATATTCTGGTGGTGGATATAGCTGTGTAAGGTTGACTCTTTCTTTCTTCTCTCAGCCAGATCTCTGAAGGGGAAACTGCTGCACCAATTGCGACCCTACTTGGATCAGGAGGCTCTCCTCACAGTCACTCATGCCCTTGTCACCTCACAGTTAGATTATTGCAATGCACTCTACATGGGGCTACCCTTTAAAAGTGTTTGGAGACTACAGTTGTTCCAGAACGCAGCCGCGCGAGCTGTTGTGGGTGCACCTAGGTACACCCACATTACACCAATTCTCCGTGAGCTGCACTGGCTCCCTATTGGTCTCCAGTCACAATTCAAGGTGTTGGTTAT